TTCAAAAATGATTAAAATTGAGCTGGTAACAATTAATTAAAAAAACTTGAAAAAAAACCTGTCCCACGCAGTATTCATTACAAATCTTTGGTTTTTATGCAAAAACATTTTTACCATCATTTTAAACATGTCTTAAAGTGTGGGAAATAAATTTAAAAAGTGAAACAAGAATGAAAATTAAGCTGTAAAAATTTAAGTGAAAAAAGTGTCTAATTTCAGTATTCAAAGTGAACCGTTGAGTTTTAAAAAATTTGGATTGAGCCATCAAATTTTTCATGTTTCAAAACCTAGGAAATAACTTTAAAACCTCAAAAAAACTTAAAAAATAAAGTACATACATGCATGCAAACAATTAATTGAAAAATGAGTGGAAAAAAAAAATTAATAATCAAAATTCATTTTTATGGAAAATGGTTTTTACCATTAAATTTTACACCTTTTAAAGTGTAGGAAACAACTTTAAAAAATCAAAAAATCTCGAAATTAATGGCAAAAATAAAGTAATTAAAAAAGTGTGTTTAAACACGGATTGCGCGTGTGCTGTGCCGCAGCAAAAGCGCTTCAAAACGCGGAAAATGCGGGTTTTTTTATTAAGGCCCTTTCTTAATGCCCAAAAAAATGAGTGGAAAAAAAATTAGTAATCAAAAGTCATTTTTATGAAAAATGGTTTTTACCATTAAATTCTACATGCTTTAAAACATAGGAAACAATTTTAAAAATTCAAAAAAACTTAAAAAATAAGCGGGAAAAAATTAAATAAAAAACCACGTGCAAACACGGAATCCGCGTGTGCTGCGCGCAGCAGAAACCGCGTGTAAACGCAGATTTACCGCGTGTTTTTATTAACGCCCTTTTTTAATTAATTCTTACAGGCTTATTATTTATTATTTTTTGTAATTTTGAATTCATTTCCTACATTTTAAAAGGTTTAAAAGTTGATGGTTATATTCATTTTGCATACAAATAAAATTGGTATATGGTACAAATTATGCAAGAAACTGGGTAAGCTCATAAATTACAATGGAAGATCCAATCTTTGGGTAAAATGAATGATACCATAGCACTTTAAACATCTAAAAAAGTAGGGAATCAACTTAAAATTCCAAAAAATAAAGAATCATAAGCCTGTAAGAATTAACTAAAAAAACACGTTGAATGCAATATTCAAGAAGAAGCTTTCATTTTGATGCAAAATGGACTTTACCATCATTTTCTACATGTGTAGAAGTGTAGGAAAAAAATTCAAGGGGCTTGGAAAAACGACTCCCAAATTTTAGTCAACGACTCCCGTTTCGGTCAGGAGGTCGTCGAACGGGAGTCGTTCTTCCAATTCCCAAAAAAACCTAGGGAGTCGTTGTAAGACTCAAAAAGTGGTTGTAAGACCCTTTTTGCTGAATGGAGAAGGGGATGGTGGAGGTTCAAGCTCTGCCCTTCTATACTATCAGATAACAAGACCCACCAAGCTCAGCTTGGCAAGTTTTAATCAAGTGATAGGGTAAGTTCAGGAATGAGTTTGTGTGATGCTGAGAAATGAGTTTAGTTGTTATTGGTGTTTGATAAGGTTCTGTGAAGGTGGTGTATCTTTGATTGAGTGGTACTAAACTTTTGACTGATGAATAATACACTGAGTAGACAACAACTGGGAGGAGAGCCTCCTTATATAGAAAATAGTGAGGGAATTTAGCTCCAGGGCAGCCAGTAATGAGTGATTTTGGCTGGCCTGGGCTATTACATGAGGGATTTTAGCTACACACATAAGTTGAATGAGTGAATGTGATTGGTCAGACATGTAAAAGAGTTAAAGTGGTGGGCCAAACAGTTGAAAGAGTGATTCTGATTGGTCAGGTTCTGATGTGTTTACAAGTGAGTGTGGTGGTGTAAGCTGCAGCTGTCATGCATGGAAAATACACTAATTTAGGCTGCAGGTATGATGTAATATGTAGAAGTGAAATGTAAAGAGTGTAGATGTATGTAAATGAGTGTATATGTAAATGAGTGTGTACTGTCCTGAGGGTGTCTGTGTAGCTTGAGGGTTGTAATTGGGTTTGGTGATATGTAATGATGGGTGAAATCCTTGTGATATGTTGTCCAGTGTTGGGTAAGAGTTGATCCAGGTGTGTTCCAGTGACGCCTCCGTGGTGACCAGAGGTGAATTTGTCCGTAGAGTCCAGTTCTTGAGCCGTATGGTGTGATGTCTGAGAGTGATTGAGTGATAACATGAAGAAAATATATATAAGGAAAAAAAGAAAGAAAAACTTTTAATTTTCACATTTTTGACTACCACATTGTCGCACTAATTTTACCTGGAGAATTTTCATTTTTTTTATTAAAAAAATAGGGAGTTGTCCGCCTAAAGTGTGGGAGTCGGCGCACCAATTCCGCCTAATATTTTGCCCTTTTTTATATTTAAATTGACGGGAGTCGTCGCACCAATTCCGCCAAATGTTTTGCCTTTTTTTTTCTATATTAAAAAAAGACGGGAGTTGTCCAACTAGAAATGGGAGTTGTCACCATATGGCACCCTCAGAGACTCCAAAAAAAGGTTGAGCCACTGAGGCCCCACCCCAAAGGCAATTTATCAATGATAAAAAAATTAGATTGATTGAGAAAAACCATTGCAAGAGATAAAAGAGATGACAAACGGGTCAAAAATATTCAAAAATGATCAGAAAAGTAAGAAAAAAAAAGGGTAAAAAAGGACATAGAGGAAAAAAAATCAAAAACTAAAAAAGACACAGGATAAATAAAACCCCTAGTGGTGTTTCATTGGATTTTCTATTTTCCTCTCTACAGTCAATTTGAAAGAATCAGAAAATTGGGCTTCCCATCCCCAAGCCTCTTCTGACACCTTTTTTTTCCACTCCTTCATGAGCTGAGGGGCAGCAAAATGTCTTGGGTTATGTAACTGCAAGGGGACAAAATGAGAAAATTCATGTAGAAAAGCAATAAAAATAGGGGGGTTGTCATTGGGGGGGCAGAAAGAAGGAAGAAAAGTCTGGCAAGAGGTGTCAGAAAAAAAGCAAACAGGCCTCTCAAAGGCATTTGCCATTACCTCACCCGTCGAAGGCATGGACATCCAATGAGGCTTTGAACAAGGTGATGGCAAATCAACCTTGATACAATCCAAAGCGCCGTGGAGTTTGGGGAACACGTTTTTATACCAATCAGGCCGGCAAACAATTTCATTGTACAATTCATACCAACTCCTAGGGATTTGTCAACAACTCCTGCAAGACGAAAAAAGCCCAGTTGTCAGTTTGGATGATTGGGCCATCGACTCCCTTTCCGTCTGGGGAAATTAGCCTGACGACTCCCAAGGAAAAAAAAAGAATCAAGAAAATTAAGGATCAAATTTGGGGCGCCGACTCCCGCCTTTTAGGTGGACGACTCCCAAATTTTCAATTAAAAAAAATAAAAAATTGCCTGTGGAATTAGGCCAACGACTCCCGGGAATTGGAAGAACGACTCCCGTTCAACAACCTCCCGACCGAAACGGGAGTCGTCGACTAAAATTTGGGAGTTGTTTTTCCAAGCCCCAAATTCAAAATGTCCAAAAATAATGAAAATTAAGCTGTAAGAAATTAATTGAAAAAAGTGTCTAATTGCAGTGTTGAGAATGAACCTTTGAGTTTTAGGGAATTTTAAATTTTCTCCCTACACTTTCAGACATAAAAACAATTATGGTAACAATCATCTTGCACCAAAAAGAAAACTTTATCTTGAATATTGCATTTGACATGTTTCTTTAATGTTCTTACGGGCTTGATTTTCATGATTTTTTGGAATTTTAACTTTATTTACTACATTTTCACAGGTTTAAAAATTGATGGTTACATCAATTTTACATACAAATAAAATTGGTATACAGTACAAATTATGTAAGAAGCGGGGTAAGCTCATATATTAGGATTGAAGCAACGATGTAACAGATCCGATCCCTGGATCAGTATTTATTGGGGATCAGATCAAAAATAGGTCCGATACTGGGTATTGGGATCAGATCAATCTCCGATCCAATCCCAATTTATTGGAAAACTGGGATTGGGTGGAGCAATCCAATCTTGATACCCAGTATCGGGTCTATTTTCAATCTGATCCCCAATAAATACCGATCCGGGGATTGGATCAAATACCCTCTGGATTATACCAAAGCATGAGGCACACAGCCCGCAGCTTCTGGGTGTTGGATTGGGATTGCATTGCAATCCCAATCTTATTTTTTGATACCTGGTGTCGAAATAACGATCCAATCCAATAAATTGGCCAATACCGTCTTGGATTGGATAAGTTTCATTGTTGATTGAAGCTTTGATATTTGGGTAAAATGAATGATAGCACCCATGTGGTTGCTCTAAGGAGCTAAGAGCAAATCCACCATGGTCCCTAGATTGGGTCCCTATTTGCAATTCATGGACCCACCCCCCAAAAGTCACCATCCACTGTGGTTGCTAATTTTGTTCCTATTTTACAGCTGTCCCTAAACATCATGACCAAGTCCCTATATGTACAGCTAATCCCAGCAAAGTTTGAGCTGGATTTTCCAAGCAGAAATCAAAGTATGTTCAGGTTAAGTTTGCAAATCAAGCTACAAACTTGTGCTAGAACAGTAAGTTTACTGCAAAAACACTGTTTGAGTTTGAGTTTGCCTCTGAATTTGGTATATCCAGCACTTTTTTTTTGAAGGAAAATCCACACCAAGGGCAACAACCTTTCTGGAACTATCTGTAGGGACTCACTAGGGCCCCATATCATTGGACTGTATAACCCATCTCATGTAAAATTTGCTTGACATTGCACCAACTCTGAGTGACAGCTCAACAACACTCCTCCAATATCCACATATCACTCTGATTTACAGACTCCCCCAGTGAAGCAGAACAACATCTCAGGTTTCTATTGTCACTCATTGGTCTGTATTGCATGTGTAAATACAGCACAAATTAGCAACCACCATGGAGTTGCTCTAGCCTCTAACCACCCATTTACCAGACACCATAAAGTGTCACAGATTGATTCCTACATGACACCCCCAACCAAATCGACTCTCTAAAGTACTCCATCTTCTATTGAGGTTGCTCAGCCATCCAGATTCCCACTCACCCCAGTGATCCACACAGGAGTCTTGAGACCTTGGAGTGTGGTGACACATCTGATGTAGAGTTCTCAGAGATTGATGCAATTGTGCTTTCAATTCATGATCGCTAGCTCACATCCGTAGCCGGGTAATTAAATGCATTAATATTCAATTATCAAAAACACAACCTTTGATGTCAATTCCCTGGTTGATCTGGCAGTGGTAATTTTAGCGTCTTGTATGCCTTCAAATATTGGACACTTTGTACATAAACTAAGACATAGACTACGAATAAGTCTCTTCGGCAGAACCTCTTTGAAGCCACACTTTGAAATAAGGAAAGGGAAAAAAAAAAACTGACCATAGCATCGCTAATGTGAAATTTCTCTAAATTGGGCAGCCACGGTCCACGATCTTCGAAGCCTGGAGGTGGCCCAGGTGGAGGGGATAAGTTGTCCTTATTGTTTCGCCAGGTGAAGAGTTTTGCAGCAAAGCATGCAGCGCCATAGTCGCACTGACCCCATCGAAGGTCAACAATAGTTTCAGGCAAGAGTTCAAGTAATTTACTGCTAGCTAATGGACCCCGAATCCTCAGAAACTTGATCTTCCTGAAGGAAGATTTGAAGAGGATGTCGAGCATCGAAGGGTTTTGCGCTGGGTCCTCGAGATCTGCGTTACGTTGAAGATACAAATGATGCCAATCTGGTGTGACAAAGATCGACAAAGATTCCAGATCTGGGCCAATGCACTCTTTTAGGATCCGGAAAAGCCCGGGCCTCTGGATTTTCGAACTTGGATTGTCGATCCACAGTTTGCGAATGGTCTCTCGAGAACTCTTCAAAAGCAAGTAGAGTTCACTCTCGTCGAGGTTGGGCTTGCGTAGCTTGAGCTTTCGCAGAGCGCAGTTGAAGACGGGTATCGGTTTTGGGATGCTCTCGATCATATCGACTGGCTGGCTGGAGAGTTCTTCGAGCTCAAGGGCCTCGAGCATGTCCCACTTAGAGAATAACTGAGCGACCACGTCATCGAGCGTCCACTGAAAGACGATATTGACTCCGTCGGTGGGGTTCTGGAGAAGAGCGAATTCCTTGATGAACTTTCGACTGGCTAAAGCTTCGATGATTGGTTGCTTGCAGCGCCTGAAGAAGGTGGCTTCGATGGAGATACTTTCAAGCAGCGGACAAGCTCGAATAATCTCGCAGATCGCAGAACCGCCACCCCTGCCCATCGTACAGATCGGGTGGCCCGGCCACCTGAATTGCAATGAGCGAACGTGTTGAGCCAGTTTGTTCAAACAAGGAGAATCGATTTCGCCATAAACCTCCTGAGCTTGACACTCGGCTCTAGAGCTAGTGAGTACTGATATGAATAGATAGGCCTTCCATGGGCTGTCTAGTATCACGTCCCTGAAGAGCCGCTCCTGGGCACACTGTCGAAAGATGCGGCTGACCAATGATAGTGAGACCAACGTATTGGAAGGGAGACCTGCCACAGAGAGATTGAGGAAATTTCAGTTCACTTGAAGAGCTTGACGAACCAGTTTGGGAATACTATTGCTCGCTCACCCTCCTTTGACGATGAAGTCTGAAGCCGGCAGATGAAAAGATGAATCAAGGTCAGTTTTAGCCGAGCGAAAATATCGAATGGGTTAAAGATGGAAGCAACCTTTGGAATGTTACATCACCTCACCATCATGCCGATATGAATACTACACTTTACTCACCTTTTGGCGTCCAATGCTGGCCGTTTCGTCGATTATCTTGTAAACCAGCTCGGCTGGGAATCGGTCGGTCAGAATAGCCATTTCCACTTCCGTCTGTTCATAAGGTCCGGAATCAGACTCCGACTGCGAGGAGGTTCTTCACTCCATAGCTTGCCGGCCGGCTTGTGGGTCACATCGATGGATGCCTCGTGTCTCAGCTGCACATGCTGCCTACCTACATAAATATCTAGCGCTTCCGGGCGAAGGTGTTCATAAAGGCAAATCCAAAAGCTGAATTACTATTAACTACCCACAACAACATGACTGTCAAGCTCACCGACTTACCAGCCGAGGTGGTCAACAGGATAATTGCTCGATGCATGGATCATCGACGGCTTGAGCCCGAGAGCCATCATGGGCTCGACCACAACGGACTCGGCCCCATTCCGCAGAGACCAAGACCTCATCGGGAAGACAACCCACCGTATCTATACCCGCGAACAATCAGTGAGATGATGCGATCCCCCCAACTGCCCTATCAAGTTTCATGGCCAGAGGGTGAGAGCTATCTCCCTAAACCTTATACCGGTACATAAGACTTTTCTACGCACTGATTATCTAGTCCACCTTTGGTCTCTTGTAGGGCTGCCTTCGAATCCATTAGTTGTACTATCGTTGGTCAGTCGCACCTTTCGACAGTGCGCCCAGAAAGAACTCTTCAGCAACGTGTGCTTGTCCGACCGATGTCAGGCGTACTTGTTCATCCGGGTGCTCACCTGCCCATCCACGGCACAGAGAGAACCAGCCAGCCCGAGTGCCCCACTGAATGGTCAGCCCAAGCATAATGCTCCAGAGGCTCCGCTCGAGATCGTCCAACCATCTGAGATCAATCGTCGTGTTGTCAACAAACTAGCCCAACACGTTCGCTCGATTCAGTTTAACCCGAGGTCGATGGGACTGGGCGGCGGCTCTCTAATCTGTGATGTCCTCCATTGTTGCCCGCTGCTCGAAAACATTGCGATCTCTATGAAGATCTTCGAGAGCTGCAGAGAACCCATCCTGAAAGCTTTGGAGCGTCAGCCACTTATCAAAGAGTTTGTCACTCTGGAAAGCTATGGCCAAGTCAACACCACGGTGCTTCAGTGGAAAGCCGATGAAGTGGTCAATCGATTGTTCCCCAAATGGAAATCCCTTGAGACGATTGAATTCAATGACCTCTCGTTTAGCCGGCCGGTCGCAACGATCGACTCGATTCCTGAACCGATACCCGTCCTAAATTGCGCGCTACGAACAATAATCTTAAAGTCGCCTGAACTAGACGAGAGGGAGCTTTCTTGGCTCCTGAAGACCTACTCCGAGAGCATCCGGACGCTCAAAATCATCCACCCATCCAAAAAACTTGACAGGACGGGCTTATGTCGAATCCTTCAAGAGTGCACTGGTCCAAATTTAGAATCATTGACGCTTAAGGTAGATACTTCTTGGCACCCGATCAAACCCTCTTCCAAAATGATCCAAAAAAAACATCTTGATAACCCAGCCAAGAACCAAGGCCTGTTAGACATTGTCTTCCGATCATCTTCCGCCTTGAGGAATCTCAAATCGTTGTCCCTTGCGGGCAATCTAGTCGGCGCCGATTGCTTGAGCCTCTTGCCTGAATCTCTCGTGAAGCTTGCCTTGGATGACTTTCAAATGCTGGCCTTGGCGTTCACTCAATTAATCCTCTCAAGGCTAACTGGGAAAGACGACGGAGAGAGCGCTCCTGAGCCACATCATTCCCAACCGGATTCTCACTCAGATCAACCTTTCCAATGGCTACCTAACTTACAGTGTTGCTCGATCGCCGATTGTAAGTTTCTCTCTCTCCACTTCCGTTGAGAAAAAAAAAAATCCGGCTTGGCCGCGGTCTGAAGATGATGACCCTCTGAGTACATAATTCCATCCACATTGCTATCCTTCTTTTGTTCAGGGCCCCGGAAAGAGTGGAAAATAGTATCGAAAGCGTTGGAAGCACGAGGGGTGTGCTGCCACAGTGATTACAATTCGGACTGTTCTTCCGAGAGCGATCAGGGTGAGTCAGAGGATTCTTCCGACGAGTCCCAAGAGCAAGAGAATTCGTCCAATGAGCAAGAGGGTTCGTCCGATGAGGAAGGGGATTCTTAGAATCTAATGGCTCCTCCTCACCTGAACCCTGTTCCCAAATGCATGTCGAGTAAAACACCCAAGATAATGACCTGAAGAAACACAACCCGTTCTCTCGTCTTGTGTATTTGCTAGGAAAAAATTCAAGTTTGAAGCAATTTTGGCGTAAGAGGCTAGACTCACCAATTCAGCTGTGAATGGCAATGACATGAGCTTCCGCACAACGTATGTGATTGTATTGTTTGTTGCGACAGGAGTACTATACCTTCGGCATCCTTGTCATCAGAACTTGCGGTGGCTGACTTGTTGGCAGAAGAGCGTCTTACATCAGAGCTTTTTGCATCAAAGGATCACACATAGTCGTCCGGTTTAGAGCTGTTTATGAAACCAGAACCTGCCTGCAAGTCATGTAGAGCGTCTGGTGGGCGTGCAAGAATCGATCGAGTGTCGATAGCCGTGCATGCTAGGCCTCAAGATATCCACGGCCGGGCGGGCTGACACTTGTATGTAGGATCCGCTAGAAGCCCAGTCGGGTCGAGATTATTGAGTGAACATGCGTCCAATGGAGTATGCCCAAGCCGGTGTGATGCGAGGTGTCTTGAAAGACCGTGTTTTTCAACAGCGTCGTGTCTAGACGCATTGTCGTGAGGTGCGCCTGACAAGATTGGTTATGAGACCTGGAGAGCGGAAAGAAGATAAACAATTTGAAGTATGAATAGATGGCCCTGCTACTACTCTAAGAATGGCTAGACTGATAGATAGGCCTCGTATCCTGATGCTAAGAAACTTTCTTGGCCAATGTCAGTCAACTGGCATTGAGTCTGCTGTGATTGCGTTTGTGCAAATTGTCCATCTTGATCGATGGAAATGTTCGTTTGGAAGCTCGATGTGAGCCTCAT